TCCGCTCGGAGGATTTCATGCTTCCATCCCTATGGGGTAGACTAGTAGGTACTAGACTTTTCCATAATGATGAAAACACAGACTTTTACACGAGCTGACCTCGTATAGGTAAAGTCGCAGCAAAGACGTCATTAGATTCGTAAAGGGAAGTGAGGGCAATGTCGTGCGTTGGTGATCACCAGCGACAGATGTCGTATGTAGTATCTGGAGGCAGGAAGGAGGGGATTTTTTGGGGAAAAAATCTGGAGAAGTGTTATAAAGTCAGGAAGTTGAAGTGTTGGGAATTCAGGGGATTGGTTAGTAGGATAGAGAACGGGAAGCGAAATCGGTTAAAGGAAAGCTTCTGAGGGGGGATCGCATTTTGCGAAAAATTTTCTTTAACGGCAGCACGTTCCCTGATGGAAGTAGATGCGTGGAGCATTCCAAGAGGAGTTGATTTAATCGGATAACCCTAGGTTCTCTATGTTTTTACTCAGGCTTGAGAAGCTCTGACAACTTTGAAATATGATGGAATGCCACAAACTATTAATTAATCAAACTAAGCCACTTTCCCACGCATGACCTCTTGAAGCACATGACGCCGAATGAAATATGCAATGGGTAAAAACAGACTATTAAATGGTTTTCATGTGAAAGCGCTCGAAGCACCTAGGTGAACTTATATCTATCTATCCACTTATTAAAACATTTCGAACAGCCGTTCTGCGAGGATCTCCGCATCATTCCGTCATTTTCTCAACCGATAACCAGTACTTTTATCAGTTTCCTTCACTTTCGTATGATATCTGCGCGTTCCGTGCCCACAAACGTCTTCTGGTAACCTTGGAACATTGCATAGATGCCAATTTGACCGCAAAGAACTGCGCCGAGAGAAAAATGTATGACACACCATGTGTGTCACACTGGCCGAAATGTGTTTATATTCATCTTTTCAGATGTCCGTCGTGGATCCGTACTTATTGCTACCTCTACAGTTGCTGTTTTATGCTCTATACCGTATCGTTCGGACCATCATATTCGTAGAATCAGATCTATACACGTTGGCTCGGAAACTCATCCAGCAAGAAAAGACTGGGAATGTGGAATTCTTCAACATCATAACACGGTAGGTAAGATTTATAACATGAGCGTGGTTCAGTGGCAAGTAGTGCTGCTTGTTTAGCGCACGTTCAGAGGTTTGAGTCCTGAATCGGCTCTCACCTAGGCCAACCAAGCTTTCTAACCTTCCTAGTCACATTAATTAGTACTAAATGGTTCGGAAGGGTAAAAGCGCTGCATGCACGGCGGCTGCCCCCCCCATGCAAGTTTTGAAAAGGCCAAATCACATTCAATAACTGCTTCGACTCTGCATGGAAGCAGAATACGTGGCGCATCCCAAAAAGGATTTGACCAGCGTCGAATGCTTGTCTTTTCCAAATTTATTTGAGGCCGTAAAATTAAGTACAAGGCATGGAGTGCTCGTGTTAAGAACATAATTAGTGAATATACCTAACTCGTGCGATAATATGATCATTTGGGGAAGGGCAGGCATGCAAGTACGTAGCGCGATGGCCGAGTGGTTAAGGCGTTGGACTTAAGTTCCAATGGACGCAAGTCCTCGTGGGTTCGAACCCCACTCGCGCTAAAGCTTTGCAAAATGAGAATGTCGCCACATCGTGGAGTTCCATACCGTACCGTATTCCTATGCATATTCCACGTGGATGACCGTATCACATACAAATATATTGGCGCCTAAAGAAATTGATCCGATTGTTAGTATTTTGCGTTTCCGTTTCTTTCCAACTTCCCTCCCCCCTCCTCACTCGATAGCGAAATTCAAGGAAAATTTTCTTTTGGGTGTCCCAGCGAGGCCCTGCTTCTGGGATGGTTGCATTGACACCGTCCTTTCATGAGGTTACGTTCATGCTTTGGTCCATGTGTTCAATTTGGCACTACCGCAATCCAGACTACCGATGACGTATCTTAGCTAACCTAAGTGTTTAGAGGCATGAGGCACGATAATTTGGTACTCGGTGAAAATGCTAGCAGGGTGCAATGTAGTGTGGAAAAAGGCGTAAAACCCAAGTGAAACGATCGAAAACCTGCGAAAAAAGCCTGGTTCTTCATGACTCCGAAAGCAATTTAGGACGAGTTACCCGCTGGCATCGTGCCAATAACCGCTTTTCGAGATACGGGTGCATGAATTTACTTATATAACCATAGCGCCGTAGCCGCTTCATATCAATTTCTTCGCTTCATATTGTACTCAGATTACTGCCTACCTGGCCACTGGAGGGGGGGGGTCGTATTTCGTCGTTGACGGGCAGAGGGGTCGCCGCATTGGGAAAAAATTTTCCCGGTAGACTTCTTGCATTTACATTTGCTATGTACCCCCTAGTTTGTGGCGCCACCAAAGTTCTATATAACTACCGTTTCCGATAGTCGAAAATAGTATTGATTTGAGGACCCCCCTCTCGACGGAAAAGTTTTGTGGAGAAGTGGCGAATTTCCGGGAAATTTCGGAAGAAACTGGTAGGATGGTGGGAACATGTAGGAGAGTGGTAGGTAGGTGTTGGGGAAGGGGGGGGGGGCATACGACCCTCTTTAGGCAAAGTCGTCCGGCTGACTGCTTTGAAAATGAAGCGATACAACCATCAGCATCATTTGATGTTTCGGCTAGGCGGGCTGGCGATTAGCGGCGGGGTTCGTTGGAGTGCGAATTCTGTCCTGTAATCCATGCAATCTAAAGGTCTTAGGGCTTTCTAGACCGCTTGCTTTCAAGGCTCGTGCATAAGCTTCCGAGGACGCAAAGACTTCGCAGCTTCAAAATCTCGTTAGAACTACAGTGTTCACAATATCAAGATTTTTCTTTCTAGGTTACGACTAGACCCTACCGATATCGCTCAAGATCACGACTTCTTGATATTTAACGATGGCTTTGGAATCCTTGATGATTTGATAGAATCATGGTATGTTTCTCTGGAAAAGTTAGATATTGTGAATTTTGGAGCCTTATTTTATTACTTTCATCTTGATAAGTTTTGTTTACTGTTGTTTCATCACCCTGAATAATGCACAGAGCCTAAAAGGGCCGCAGGACAACCACAGCGAAGGTGTGTAGAACTTTGCTGATATAATGGGTATAGTCCGCATGGACGCTTGGAGATCAATTTCATGTTGAGCATGTGGGCGGGAACAGGCTCAGGGACCGGGACTTCTTCATTGCTGCGACGCCGTTTCTAAGAAAATCAGAAGGAGGGTCGGCAGTGTGAAAGTCACTATGGTATATTTGGCTTCGTTTACACGACCAGCGTGAAATTTGTCCTTAGAGGCACACCCCGCCTTCGAAAATAATGACTTATGCGGCTCAAATACTAGCCACAAGACAGTAAATAACACAATACAAGAAAAAAATGAGAAAACCCGAAAAACACGCCCGAAACGCTCTGCATGGAACCCCATGCTCAACCGCGCTTGTACATGTATAAGGCGAAGAACGGGCGTGGTGGACGAGTTTTTGCGTGCTAGTGGCATCTTTTTATCCTTACCGTCTCTTCGTTCGAAAAAAACCGCACCGCAAGAAGCCTTTACAAATGATAATTGGGCGTGCGGTGGCCAGTGGGCGGATCGGTGTCTTCGGCGCGAGCTGGTCGCACTTCCCTCATGCACATTTGAGCTACGAAAGTAGTACGTCCTCCGTGCTCGCGAACAGGCCCAGCACTGGGACCTCTCCTGTCCAGAGAAGGCGTTAAAGGCAGTTGGCACCATAAATCCCCCAAGACGACTAGGATCAATACTCCTGGCAGGATAGAATTCCGCGACCCTGGGCAGGCGCTGCATAGCGGTTTCCCCGAGGAAGGTGCCCTTATAAGGGCCCTATCAAGCCACAACTTTACGTCCCAAACGCCCGCCACGCCCGCCCGCCCACAAATGGACGACCGTTCCTGACGCTCGTATTCATTCATTTGCTAAGCAAATTATGAAGCGAAGGGATTAAGTTAGAAAGTGTAAAATTTGTGAGAAGACGGTAAAGTCCCAACCTGCTTGGCGTCGGTGGTTCAGCTACGCTTCTCGGTTCGCTATCCTCTCGTTCACCCGCTTCTGGGTTACCAGCCGTAGTCTTCTTTTTGGCTTTAGGCCACTCCAATATAGACGCAGAATTCGGGTGTTGTCCAAGCTGTCGTCGTCTTCTTTTGCCAGACGCTCGCACTGTGCACTGAAGAGCTAAAGTCTGGTATTGGTAATGAGACAGGTAATTAGACAGAGGTAGCTTCGGACTGAACCGTCCCACAAGAGAATACACTTGTAACTGAAACCTTTACTTGATGACGTAAACAACAAGAATCAAAAGTTGAATCAATGGAAATCTGGCTATTTATATGCTATACTGTGTAACTTAGGATTGAGGTGTTTTGTACCCGAGGTCTCTAAGTTAGGAGATCCTATAGAGATCAGAGTAATACCGTATGCTACCGTATTTCATCACACAGTTAGTGAGGCGTGAAAATGTTATGTACAGAAAAGTGATCATAAGTCACTGATTTTAAGGCATACAATGTTGATATGATGAGCAATATGTATTTATGAATAATATACGCACATTATTAGGTACATTATATGTTGTATTTACATGAGATCGGCCTATGCGGCTGTCGTGCTAGTGCGGGTCCTTTCCGCAAGGGATTGGTATGAAGCGGCCGTGATGCTGCATGCATATATGGGTACACATATGCAGCCGTATCTTCGGTAGCGGTGATTGGCAAGATGCCTACGGGAAACTCGTCCGAAATCGATTTTCAAGGCTTTTTCTTCGCAGGATTTTGACCGTTTCACTCCGTTCTTTCGCCATTTCCCCACTATACAGCGCCTACTAGCATTTTAGGCTAAGTAGGAAATCATCGCGCCAACTGCCTTTAAACGTGGAGCGCGCCATTAAGTTGTGCCTTGAGTACCTAATGAGACCGAACACTAGGCCCACAACTCAGCTCTCTTGCGAGAAACACCAGGTTTTTTTTAGTTGGATGATCTACACAATAACTGAGCGATACGTCTACTTCGTTCGAATACCATATGAATCGCCTCTGTCCATTTCTACCACACCACGGCTGACGGCGCTCTGTTACAACTCAGCTGATCGTGTCGCTCGCATGGATTTGTGCGAGTTCGTGAATGAAACGAAATCGCGGATACCCTCATCAAGAGGTTCGGTAAGATCTTTGAGGACTATTTTATAACATGATCTGGTACCTATCGCATTTTAGGACGAGTTGTCATGCTTCATAGTTCGCCTTGTTGTGGTGGTAGTATGCTTGGTCGATTGCTAAGCTCAGTGGACACATCCGAAACAAGACTACTCGTTCTGGGTGAACCGCCTGTACTGAGTGCCTTAGCTGTTCTTGCTCAACTCGCATCGATCGAAACGATGCGATCAATAACCCTAGCTGCGTTACGATTTTCGATGCGACACATCGAAACCGACCAGGTCGTCGTGATGAAAGCGAGGTACCTACCAATACTGATTGATTGTTTCGCGATATACAGTAGTGTTCGTTGCGACTGATGGGGCGTGTCAAGGGAAATAGGTTTGGCGCGGTGCCAGCCCGTTTTTCTCCGGCTAGTGAAATGTCTGTATCATATCGATCGTAACAGTCGTTTTCCACCGATTGATGTCGTGTACCCGCTTCAGCAGTTGGTGGCGAACGAGCTCGCGGCGCGCCAGAGTCACTGACACGCCGCGTCATCCACAGTGAACAAGACTGTATATGATAACTGGTTGCCTAGTAGAACTTTCTCATAACTCATATTCCTTTCATCCCCTTTTTTGAAGTAAGACCAAGAAAGCAGTACGGGTGAAACTTTTTTCGACAGCGTCCCATTGATATGCCCCTATGAATTTTCTGTCTCAACCAGGCACCCACCATTAAGGGTAGGGCAACAATTCAAGTAACTCCGCCCATATGATCAGCACGGAACACGTCCTTTCCAAGAAGGCAATTTTACACGGATCCCTTTGTGCATTGGCGAGTACGATTCTATGGTCAGACTTGCACATGTACTTCTTGATTTTACGGTATAGAACGGATTTGCCCTTTTCACTGCCAGTGTTTATGCAATATCCTCAGCGCGGAGTAAGACGTCTCGACCTACGAAGTACTTCCTTGCCAATGGAAACTTAGCCCACACCCTTATGACACCTAGACTACTTGTGGCGGGGAGGATATATGTTTTCGCGGCATTTTGAGGCGAGACAGGCCACGCTGTCAAAAATGTCCCGGATTCTCATTCCTTCAGGAAAAGCCCTCCACGCAGCACAGGGTCCGACGCGGATTCGGATAAGTGGCCAAGGCCACTCTAAACACCTGAACAGGACATGCCGCGCCGACAGCTGAATAGGCACGACTGGTTATTAACTGGTCTATCCTCATCTTCTCCTCCCATAACGCACCCGCAAGTGAACTAGTGAGAGCGAAATTTGAGTGCACATGCACATCGTGGGAAGTTCAGTCCTCATATCCAAACTAGTCACTTTATATGCCTAGGTTTCAGGTCATGTGCTGCGGAATAATTCGTGCCTTATTGTTCAGTGCCACTAATTCCCTCCATACAGCAGTTCTGTTGCCTCACCTTCTCATGATAGATCTACCGGTTAGCCCAGCCCCCCCCCCCCCCCCCCCCCCCCCCCCCCCATTCCAAGGTTGATATCGGCTACTTCCACGAGTTTGCTAGCTTTTCATATGGTTAGTTTTTTTCGTTTCTAGCATTTCTAAAAGAGATTGCTCACTTCAGTGGTTACCTGAGAGAACCATACTTGAAACTGTTGCCTGCGCATTTCTGTTTCTTGTCACGTTGGCCCCTTGCGTAGCTCTTATTCCTTGCGGCCGAGAATTTTTTGGATTCCCGAATGGTGCGGGCTGCGAAATGGCCGCTGCTCCCAGGTACCCATTGGACCGCTGCCAACAGAATTTTTAGAAAAATTCCGTCATTTAATCACAGTTTAGGCCGAAATTCTCGAGCGTGTGTCAGCGGTGGGGGCACTAGGGATTAGCCAGTAGGGAGGTCGGTCGCTCCGTGTAGTCGCTGCGATTGATTCGCGTTTAAGTGACAGTTAATTAAGGGCTCCGGCTTTTGACACGAATATATTTCCTTCAGAACGCGGGCCAACACGTTTCTCTTCCCACAAGTCATGTTTAGGGTTTGCACATTCCTATCCTTACTCGCAAGGCCTTTGTGACTTCTTCTCAAGTTGGCGATTACTCGAATCAGAAATGGTGCAGAAGATTGGCCCAAAAGTCGACTACGAATTCTCTTTAGCACAAATTATGGGCTGCATAATTAATTATCAAAGGAAAATTTGATCCAGCATTACTCACGGCCCTCGAGTGCTACTTTATTGCTGAGGATTTGGTGAGTTTCTCACGCTCTCCTACTCCAACTACTCTACTTTTTTTGAATTCTCTATGTCAGGGCGGGCGATCTGGCACTTCAACCATTCTTTTATTGTTTATCATAATTTTTTATTTACACTCCATTTACAATTTTTGAGTTGCTCGCCGAGCAGCAGCTTAGCAGCGAGCCCCATAAAAGGGGGAATACCTAATGAGTGATGCAGCTTACAAGAATAAACAAAGGTTATTAATGGCAGTTTTGTGAAAAGAGTCCCCCGATATTCAAAGCGTTTTTCTTTACCTTGGCTAATTTTTACCAGAACTCTTTTCAAAACATTTAGCGTGTTTCGTATGAATCCCCTTGTCCTGTCTACATATTAAGACGGATCCCATTTGGAGAAAGTGGATCAGTGGTGAGAGCGTAGCTCCTAGTAATCTGACATATGGATATAACGTTCCCCCCTGAACAAGATTCGTCACTCAGCCACCGTGCTAACATGAACCGCAATGTTATGGCACCCGTTGTGGGTATTCATCTAAACAGTCTGCCAAAATCTATTAGCGCTTTTGAGGTGCTCGAGCGGGCTCTGCAGTGCAGCGCGGAATGGTGCCACGCTGGTGGCTTATAGGCGGTTGCGACTCAAGATCAATGGACGTAAGTCCGCGTGGAGTTCGATACCCGCCACCTCGCGCGGTACGATCTTCTGCAGAACGCGATAGAATTCTAAAACAGCCACGAATATTATGTGGAAACAAAACTTGGCCCAAGATAGGCCAGGGGAGTCAGCCCAAGTCTATCTATCCGCATTGGTTTCGGAATCTAAAACGACCCTCAGGCTTCATGCTGAATGAAACAAAATTGACGATTGTTTTATGCATTTCGTGGAAAACTGGTAGAAATCTGAAATCGCAAAGAAAAAATTTTTGCATGCCTGGGGCAGGTGAAAACCCCCTGGGCACCATGACGCCAGGATGGAGAGTGATTTTGAGTGAGGGGTAGAGAAAAAATGCTAGCTCGAATTCCGCTTTGCGTAGAGAGCCCTCAGACGAATCGTTCTAGTAAGAGCTACCGTCCCCTCTTCACTCAAGGCAGCGGTTACCGTTTTTTGTGATGATCACAGCTGGGGGGGTGGGCGTGGGGGGAGGAAGTCTTATTTGACCGCCGAGGAAGGGGCGGTCGTATTTGTCGTTGTTGAAAGGAGGGGACTGCCAAGGACTTGTCGCAACCCTGTTGTTATAGCCAAGTTATCTCCTTCGTGGAATATTGACAGCTGAGAGTTGAATCCTGACGTATCCCCCCCCTTTGCTTCGACAGCAAAATTCGAGGGGCCGAGGGAAAACCGAAAAAGAGTTGTCAAGCGGCCAGCGCCCGACAATTTCGATCGAAAAAAACTGTGGGGAAAATCTGGGGAAATGTTCCTGTTTCCATTGCGGTATACCACAACCCCCCTCTCTCCCCTTCCCTAACCCCCGCTTGACGGGAAAGTCTTGGTTGAAAAACTGGAAATTTCTTGGGGGAAAAAATGGTAAAAGTGGTAGGGGGCTGGGAAAATCTAGGAAAGTGGCAAGTGGTAGGTAGCATGGGGAGGGGGGGGGTCGTATTTGAGGATGGAATTAGGGAAGTCGTATTTTTCAGGAAATGATCACAACGCGATGGCGTGCCCTGCTCACACTGTGCCCGAAAGGAGCTCGCCAATGCTTGAGTGCTAGCACCAGATTAGCACTAGGATACAGCTGTTCAAGTGTGCCCGTGGGAATCTGAGCCATACGTGACGGTTGAGTAGTTCTATCGTTGGCGCAGACAGTCATTCCCGCCGCAGACGCTGGGATATCTTAGGGGGCTGGATTTGACTCTGCACCACCCACTAACCACCAACTATTGAAGCGGACCAGCGACAGCGACTGGTAGGAAACGGACTGGAGCTTCGCCAAGTCCAGAGTCGCCGGTACAAATTGTGATGGCGTTTTGCTCAATTAATGTCAAGAAAAGATTTTCCAATTTTTTTTTCAAGCCTTTCTTTGATATGATGGTTTTGAGAGCATCATTAATCGTTAAGATATATGAATTTTAAGATAAACGATCCACAGACCGTAATTCGTCCGATTCTCGACGTATGTGGCATGAGTCATATGGCTGTGACTGATCATAAGGCATGGAAGATTCGAGAAGAAGAGGCGATCCAGTCGCAACAGATCATTTCACTTGACGACACTCAACGGCAAAGGGTAAAATTACTGGTAGAATATCTGCAACAAGATTGGTGCAGATAAAGTTTTTTTCATAATGTGTTCCATGTTTCGTGTAAGTAGAAAAAGAATAAAACTTATCAATGGCTCTTATTGAAGTTTTACTGGAAGCCCAAAAATTAGGTGAACATAGGACTTTTCTGACAAATCTACGTGGGATAGTTGGCCTACTCGCTCTACTGGGTAGTTAACTCCTAGAAATGTACAAAACTGAAGGACATTCTCTCACTTCCGCAAGCGCAATGTCATCGCCGTCAACGGATGAGCAAACCACGTCTCTCATCTCACCTTGTAGAAGCGAGGCACGGGTGACTATCGTAGGTGCACTGGGTGCTTAGATGTTAGCTGGCTCAGCTCGGTGTTACTATCTTATTAGATTGTCAGTTTACCAGCGTTCTTCACCACCCAGAACTGATCTGGGACGATAGCCGTAGCACCGTCACATCACATATCGCAATGACCATCAAGGCTCTACAATGGTACCTATGGTCTCCATTCATAAATTCATTTCCCTGTGATGGTCAGGCAGGGCCACCACAATAACTTGTAAAAACAGGGGCGTGCTGGTTTCGCGCGGGTTAGAGGTCAATCCTTGACAACAACTTTTATTTGTGCTTTTCTACGCACTGTATCTCCCCCATACTATATTCTGATTGCTGTTCCGGCTAGATGTACAGTCCTCCTCATTGCGGACGGTGGGTGGTGTCAGCCAGGTAATCGAGTTGTGCACACTGTTGACCAAGCTGCCGACTCAGCTTTTCTTGTTGAAAAGTGTATGCGACAAAAAGTGGTAAAAAAAAAAAACGAGTTAATATCGCGAGGATAGATAGGTTGTCCCGGAAAGTTCTCATGCGTTTGGGTGTTTTCGACTTTGAACGATCTGTACTTTTTTAATATTACATCAGGATTGATCGAAATATAACGCACCGATTTCGATTCAGCCACACTTTTGCCAATGTTGACAGCAGGTGCGAGGAAAACCCATCAAAGTAAAAAAACTGGGTGGCGAGAATCACGATAAATCTTAACGTGAAGGCTCTATTTTTGCCTGGTCCTGTGATGAAGTATTTTCCAGCAAGGAAGTTCTGAAAATGTTGAAAAGGTGATAGTCGGTTGGCGAAAGGTCTGAAGAATATGGCGGTTGAGGTAGAACTTCAACCCCCAATTCGTTCAATTTATGGATAGTGATTTGTGAAACGTGTGGGCGGGCGTTGTCATGCGGACCCTTTCTTTTGATAAGTGTTGGCTGCATCTGACAAAATTTTCGGTACAATTTCGTCGATTTCTTCACAGTAGGGTTCTGCTGTGATGGTTTGGCCTGGTGATAAAAAGTTATAGTGGATCACACCAGCCGATGACCACCAAGCCGTGACCAGAATCTTTTTTTCGTGAGGGTTCGGCTTTGAAAATTACCTCGGTGGTTCGTCGAAATCCAACCACTGTCCGGAACGTCTCCTGTTATCATACATGACCCATTTTTCATCACAGGTGACAATTCGGCCCAAAAACAGGTCGTTTCTGCTGCGCAAAAGCAATGCAGAAGGAACCTCGAGACGTGCCGATTCCTGCCGGTCACTCCGATTGTGGGGCACCCAATTGTCGAGTTTTTTCACCTTCCCAATGCGTTCCAGACCATCTGCAACAGTGGATTTGCCAAGGCCTAGCTCTTCTGCTATCTCTCGAACTGTTTGGGATGGGTCAGCCTCCAAAATCCCCCTAAAATCCTCGTCAGATATTGCTTTAGGTCGACCGCTATGAGGTTCATCTTCAAGGCTGAAATCTCCAGAACGAAATTTGTTGAGCCATTGCCGCACAGTGCTTTCTCTAGCACTATTGGGCCCCCACACCTGGTTAATTTGTTGAGCTGTTTCGATTGCGGATTGCCCCAATTTATAGTCGAAGAAAAAATCGTCCGAAGTGCTCTTTTCACATGCTTGAAAAAATCTTGAAAAGGGTTTATCAAGCAATGGTGAAACGGCAATTATACCATCA